TACTCATTTTGATAAATTATTAATTTACAAGATCCTTGTACGTATCTTTAATAAGATAAATAGAAGACGAACCTTTACCAAAGAATAAAATAAAGCCATTATATCTTCCATTTAAAATGAGAAACCCGAAAAATCTGCAAAAATTACAGGGAACATAGTGTAATATGTTATGTAGCAGGGCTTTATGGATTAAGTACTGTTTCTTCGTTTTATATAGACACGACTTTGTCTGTTTTTTAATGTACCTCCAGTAAGTTGTCATTCCATCGTTTTGGTGGTCTTTCTAGTGATCGTTCTCCTAATGGGAAACCTTTTCTTGCAGTCTTTACTGCTCTATTTGTTTTCGGCTTGTATGATCAATCCATTCTACTCTTCTATTTCTCTCTCAGTCCTTGATGATCCCCACCTTGCACCTACGTCGTATATCTGTAATTTTAGCTGTCCCATAGTCTTTTACCATCAATTTTTCTAAATGTTTTTATCTCTGCTGTTTCTTACATCCTTTGTTGTCCTTTCTGTATAAGGTCGTGTTTGTGCCGCGTATACCATTATTGGTCTGATGGCTGTTTTGTAAATTCTTTCTTTCATTTCTTTCTCGATATTTTCATTCCTCCATATTGTTTTATTCACTTGATCTTCCACTTCTGTTTCCAGCTTTCCAGATGAATAAAAAAAGTTACCTTAATTCATTCATTCTTCATTTATCCACATCCACACTCCATTGATCATCAATGCGGCTCCCTGTCTCGTTCCAGGTAGCGCGTTGAAGACGCCTCCTAGTATCCCAGACGAGCATTTCCTTCTTCCCCACAGTCTGACTCACTCATTCTAACTCATACAGCCTGACCCACTTTTCTAGCTTCAACTTCCAGCAAAGTGTCCACAGTATAGGCATTCATCTGTGTCAGCCTTTCCGAACCTAGAGAGGGAGATCCTAAAACACCCGTGCCCTGTAAGTACCTGCGTCAGAAAAGAATCCAATCGCCTGTGGCTACAGTCCACCCAATTTTTTTTGTTCGAGATCAGCATTTTCATCCACTGTGCCACATCCTCCGTGTTGTTCCATTCTTTTTGCCATCTATCAATTGACCTTTCTTTTTTCTGTCTTCTCTCGGCCATAGTAAGGTTTGGGCCTCTTCTCTCATAGAGCTCTTTTCTGTAGACCGCCAAAAGATGCAACGGAAAACATCCAGTGATGGGCCACAAGGCTGCCCCAGACAGTCCTGTAGGCGCATCCCACTAGCAACAGACTTATTCTGTCCATTCTTATCATGAGCCCCCTATAGGCCGTTATCTTTTATCTACAGCCCCGCTCCCGAGGGCGATCGATTATACAACATCGTGTAAGACCCTTCTGCTTTCGGATTTGGATCCTCCGATGTTGGGCATCACCCTCCCCAACGCAACCGCACTATTCGCAGCCTTCCGGGCTACCTCCCGCACGGGCTTCCCTTATTTTCTATTCTGCTGCAATGTCACTCCTAGGTGCTTTACGTGTTTCTTGGGTGTTAGACATGCACGTGGAAATCCCCTCAAGATGGACATCAAGGCAGAATAGTACGGAATCAAATAGACTACATCCTAATAAACCACCGATTTCGAAACAATATTAAAGATGTAAAAACTTACCCCGGCGCTGACCTAAACTCAAATCACAATTTACTCTGCTCCAAAATACAAATTAAATTGAAGAAATTAACAAAGCCAACTAAGCCTTGTAAGATATATCTCGACCCCCTGAAAACCCCTCAAACGCGCGAACACATAACACCAGCAAATAAATAGTAAAATACACAGAATATCAAATATACCAAACGAAAACAGAACCATTAACGAATGCTGGTATGCCATTCAAAACTCGATTTTAGAGAACGTACAAGAGTCCTTGAAAACACCTACCATGTTGGCAAAAAATGAGTGGCTGACACAAGAAATTCTAGATCTGATGTAAGTTCGACGGCAACACAAACATAGAAATATTATCGAATATCGTGAAATTAATAAACGCATAAAAAGAAAAATTAAGCAAGCCAAAGAATCCTGGCTTGAGAATTTATGTAAAGAAATAGAAGAAATCCAAAAAAAGCATGACAGCTTCAACCTGCATAAGAAACTTAAATATACTGCCGGAATTAGAAAACAGAAAAATGGTCACATACTTAAAAGCGCGGACGGAAAAATTTGTGATCATGAATAACAGTGCAAAGAATGGGAGAGATACATCACTGACCTTTTTGACGATGCTTCTAGGGAAAATGCTCCAAATACTGCCTATGACAACCAGTTGGACAGAGGTCCCAATATACTGAATTCGGAAGTCGAAAAGGCAATACAGCAAGCCAAAAAACAATAAAGCACCTGGACCAGATCAAATCCCTGCCGAACTACTTAAACTTTTGGGTGAGGAAAGCATTGCCTGCTTAACCACTTTCTTCAACAAAATTTACAACGAAGGAAAAATACCAGATGATTGGTTAGAGTCACTGTTTATAACATTACCAAAGAAAGCAGGCCCACCAAATGCAGCGATTTTAGACTAATCAGTTTGATGAGTCACACACTGAAGATACTCTTACGAATTATACAAAACCGAGTATTCCTTCTATGCGAAAGTAAGATGGGTGATAAGCAATTTGGATTTAGAAACGGTCTAGGAACTAGAGACGCACTATTCTGTATGCGCGTTCTATTACAAAAAAGTTGTGAATTCCGAAAGAATGTTTATGTTTGTTTCATCGACTTCGAGAAAGGCGTTCGACAGAGTCCAACACAATACACTTTTCGACTGCCTACGGGTAGCAAGACTTGACCACTATGATATAAGACTGCTGAAATACTTATATTACAATCAAGTAGACTATATCCAAATTGGAGACAGTCCCACTGAAAAAATACCCATCAAACGTGGAGTACGGCAGGGTTGTGTTTTGTCACCCACTCTTTTTAATCTGTACTCTGAAGAAATCTTTAGGGAGGCTTTGGATGACAGACAAGAGGGAGTAAGACTAGGTGGAGAAGTAATCAACAATATTAGATACGCTGACGATACAGCCATTCTTGCAGAAAGTTTACAAGATCTCCAAATATTACTAAATCTAGTCAGTGAAGCAAGTTATCGGAGAGGCCTAAAAATCAACATTTCAAAGACAAAGTGGATGGCAGTTGGAAAGATCCATATAGATCAAGGTCTGCTTTCTCTTAATGGAGAAGAGATAGAAAGGGTAAATCATTTCAAATACCTTGGCAGCTGGTTAAATGTAAATTGTGACTCTGATGAAGAGATAATATCCAGGATCGAAATATCATGTAAGGCTTTTATGACCTGGAAACCAGTTTTATGCAACAGAAACCTGTCAATGAACATTCGTAAGAAGGTCCTGAAATGTTATGTGTGGTCGATCCTATTGTATGGTTGTGAGACATGGACGTTAAAAACCACAATGCTAAACAAGTTAGAAGCATTCGAAATGTGGTGTTATAGACGAATCCTAAAGATATCGTGGGTTTCGCACACTTCCAATGAAGATGTTCTTCAAATGATCAACTCAGAACGTCTGCTCATAAACATCATAAAGAGGAGAAAAACAGAATACTTCGGCCATATAATTAGAGAACCCAAATACCATTTACTTCGCCATATAATACAAGGAAAAGTGGAAGAAAAGAGATGGATGGTCGAAAGAAACTTTCATGGTTGCGTAATAGGTATTAGACAATGGTGTGGTTCCACAGTAAAAGAATTATTTCGCGCAGCAGCCGACAGAGAAAGGTTTCAGGAAATTGTAAGCATGATGACGGCCAACGTCTGAATACGGACACGGCACCCAAAGAAGAAGAAGACATGCTCCCGCATATTTTAATTCAACAATCAGTGTTAGTATTGAATAAATATCTTTCAAGTAGTACCTTTGCAAGGTAATTCCCTGTTTTAATTGGTAAATTACAAACAACCCACCTTTGGGAGTATCTCTTCAACATACCTTCCTATTTTCATTGGTTTATATCTCAATAACTAGTCGAGAATTTTTTTTTTTTTCCACCAAACTTGAAAAGATGTAAGGATTTTTAAAAAATAAGGACTAATTAATTTTTATTATTGTAAATATTGAATAATGTAGGTCACAACTTGGCGAAGTGTATTCTTTATACTTTCCTTATGCCCAAATATTTACTTCCGGTAAAGATTCTTCACACTTTGTTTGTTAGGATTATTTCCTTAAATTGGTTTGTTAGATTTATGTATTGTTCAGTATTCTACTGTCTTAGATATAAAATTTCAAAAATGACGCTATTTTCCAGAAAATACATTGTACTTTTAGCATTTAATTAAATGTTTTACGTTTATTAATTATTCATTTTGTTTCAGTCGCTGACGCAACTGGCTGTTACTACAATTTCGAACACTACGATGAAGGTGATAGGATAATAACGAACGAGCCATGTTTAAATTGCACTTGCCACAATAGGATGTTAATGTGCTACCTTAGGGTGTGTCCTTTCACGAAAGCCATCGGACAAGACTGTAAAGTAGAAAAGAAACCCGACCAATGCTGCCCAACTATTACCTGCCCCGAAGGTAAGCTAAATTATTTCCTATTAATAAAATGACCTTTAAAACATAACTATTGAGACTTGGCGCAATGCAATTTTGGTTCAAGTAATATATCCCTGGTCTAAGCCTCAATAGTTATAATAATCACTCTATAAGACCAGTTATAAACATTTTTTTTTATTTTGTTCAGTTCCTGTTCAGCTGGTCCCCCACGCCTCAACGACACCATCTACAGCGATAGGTCACCTCAACGAATATGGTTGCTCAATAGATAACCTGTTCTACGCTGACGGTGCCAAAGTGCCATCAAATCCCAACAACCCTTGCGAGGTTTGCTACTGCATTAGAAACAAGACTGCCTGTATCATACAAGAATGTACCTTAACTGGAAAATTGGTCGAAGGTTGTAAACCTGTATATCTCGAAGGAGTTTGCTGTCCATTGCGATATGATTGCGGTAAGATTACCTGAAAAAGTTTAAAACTGCAATGGAAATAAAAACTATTTTTTTCTTTTTTAGATCATCCAGAATATCCCGAGATCGAAACAACCGCCAAACCTCTTCTTACTACAACTACTACAGAGGTACCGACAACCACTCTTATTCCTACTACTACTGCAGCTCCAACGCACTGCACCTACCGCAATGAAATATATTATGATGGTGCTTTGGTCAAGAAGGACATTACCATGCGAAAAGTGTTATTGCATGAGAGGCGATATTGTCTGTGCCGTTCAAGAATGTGGACCAACTCCTTTGGATAAAGTAAAATGTAGAGCTCTTCCACGAAAAGAAGGCCACTGTTGTCCCGATACTTACGACTGCAATATGATTTCAGAAGAGGATCTAACAACTATATCGTCCTATGAGGTTACTACAACACAGCCTTCAATTGTAACACCAGAATCACAAACAAGTAAACCCGAAGAAATCGTTACTCCCGACCTTAAGGACAGAGGAGAATTCAGTACAGATGCTGCAGAAACGAAACCGGAAACTACTACCGAAAGATTGACCTCTGTAGTGACAGAAGTAGTAACTGAAATTGCACAAACAATATCTTCTTTAGTATTCGGTAATACTGAAGAACCAAAGAAAACAGATAAATCAGAGGAGCCTACCACAGAAATTTCGGAAGAACCTACAAAACAACCGGAAATTCATGAAACCCCAACTGAGAAGAAACAAGAAGATACTGAAGCTCCAATAGAGAAAGTAACAGAACCTGCTCAACATGAAACGATTGCTCATGACGAAACTGAAGAACCAGAAGAACCAGAAGACCACCACACTTCGACCGTTGCCAGTAAAGACTCATCTACATCATTACCCTCAGGCTTTGAAGACGAACGAACAAGACCAATAGACAAGGAAGGAGAAACCAGAAAACCAACAACACAAGAACCATCCAAAGAAGGCGAAGAAAGCACTACAAAATTACCTAAAGATACTACTGAAAGTGAAACAGATAAAGGCACTTACGCTGATATAACTCCTCAAGAAACAACCGTTGTTAAAGAAGAGGTAACAACACAACGAGTAGCTATTTCCGAAGGAACAACTATCCGGCAGACTGCTGAAACTACCAAACTTCCTGAAGAAGAACCAATAACGACAGTAAAGGCCAAAGAAACAGAATTGCCCACATCTGAAACCACTGAAGGACCTAAAGAGTCCCAAGAGCCTAGTGATGTTACTAGTGAGCAACCTTTAGAAACAAAAGAACCATTGGAAACGACATATAAACAGGAAGGTACAAAAGATACTTCTGCTCCCGTAGAAGTTACTAGTGAATCATCCAAACCAGAAGATTCCCGAACAGAAAGTTCCAAATCAGATGTTACAACTGAATCAGAAACTCCTAAAGCCACTGACGCTGTTAAATTAGATACAACAACAGAATCACTTCCAACAGAGCAACCAGGAGTTACTAGATTACAACCAATAGAAACACAACCTCCACAGAAAGAATCTACGACTGAAGAAACCCACCAAACAACTGAGAAAGCTCAAGAAACTACTGAGAAGGTTCAAGAAGCAACACAAAAGGCGCAAGACTTAACTGAAAATACTCAAGCACCGTCTGAAAAAGCTCAAGAAACACAATCTCCTAGAGATGTAACTACGGAACCCATTACATCTGTAACACAATCTGAAGTAGCAGATGAAACAAGCGAAGAACCCAAAAACACACCGCCTACAGAGGAGCAAGTACCTACTGAATCAGCTATCACTACGAAGTTGCCTGAAGAAACACCAGCGCCCAATAGAGATATAACTAGTGAACAAACAACAGAAACAAAATCTCAAGCAACAGAAACGCAACCATCCGAACCTGATGCAACTACTGAAACATCTTTAGAAACACAAACTATTACAGAAAAAGTTGAACCAGTAGAAACATTACCTCCAAAGGCAACAACAGAACGAATTCAAGAAACAGAAGCCACTAAAGCCTCGCCGACAGAAGTATCTGACGATACGGAACCCACTAATTTGCCACCTATAGAAGTCTCTCAAGATACAGACCGTCCTACAGAATTGGCTACAGAAAAGTCTGAAGAAACTAAAGCTCCCAAGGTATCTTCTACAGAAGAACCTGAAGGAACAGAACCATCTAAAGCCCCATCTACAGACCAAACTCAAGAAACAGAATCACCTAATGAACAACCTATCGAAACACAACCTCCTAAGATTCTACCTACAGAAGAACCTAATAAGGCAGAATCAGACGAGCCTAAAAAAGAATCATCTACAGAAGACGCTAAAGAAACGGAACCTTCGAAGGTTACATCTACAGAAGTTCCTAAAGAAACTAAACCAACAACTGAAACACCTACCACGAAAGCTGCTGAATTGACAACAATAGAAGAAATGGAGATAGTCACAAGTGCTCCATTAAACGAAACTGAAAAACCACTTTCAATGGATCACAAATCTGAAACAATACTACCAACTAAAGAGCAAGCCGCAGAAGCCACAAAACCAGCGGAAACTGTAACAGAAGGTCTACCTGTTCAAACAACTGAACCTCCTAAGGTGGAGGTCCCAACAACACAAGAAACAGTAAAGGAATCTAATGAAATACCGGAAGCTGTATGTACCAAAGAAACATGTGGCACACAAGACCAAGCTCCTTCAAGTACGGAAAAACCCACGCCAGTTGAAAAAGACCATACTGAATCTAACCAAATACCTGAGGGTCCATTAAAAGAAACAACTGAAACAGAAACGCAGAAGCCTTTAGATATTACAGACAAAACACCAACCATATCAGAAACTGAAGGTCCAACCGTTGGTACCACTACAGAAGCTGAAGTTCAAACAACAGAACCAAAAGTTAAGCAAACTGTACCAGCAGAAAGTTCAACTCATGAAGCTACAACGCCCAAAGACATTTCAGAAAGTTCGACAGAAGTTAAGTTGCCAGAGATTACAACAGAAACTCAAGCAGAAACTACATCACATGATATTAGAGAGAATGAAATCATTCCTTCGGTAACAACTGAAAAACAACCGCAAGAGACAGAATCTACCGAAAGCCAAACTTCAGAGGATAGCGCTACCAAATCAACTCAGGAACCGATTGGAGAAACTAAACAGCCTGAGTCTGTTACAACTTCGGAAGAAATAACCACAAAACAAGCACCTGTTGTTCCCTCAGACCAAACAAAATCAGCAGAAGTAACTACATATTCAACAACAAGGCCAGAAAGCTCCAGTGATGCAACTTCAGAGCCCATAACTGTTATTCCATCGAAACAACCTGAAACTGCAACCCAACACGATGCAACTCCAGATGCCACTGCCACAGAAATTCCAGAAGAACTAGAAGTAACTACAATTGAAGAAAGAGTTCATGGTATTCCTGGAGAGGGTAGCTGTCTGGTAGAAGGACGAACATACAACAACAACTCCAATGTGCCTCCGTTTAATCACTGCCAAGTTGCCTGTAAGTGTGTTAGCTCCATCCTCAAATGTTCCCATGTTCCATGTCCAGATCCACCGAAGGATTGTGTTACTGTAGTTCCAAGACCAGAAAATAGCTGCTGCCCTGTATACCAATGCAGTAAGTATCATATTTTAAGCTTAAAACAAGCTAGTTTGGAAAAAATTTTATTTATTATTGATTTTTACTTTACAGGTACTACTACGTCAGATAGTGGAATGGAATCAAGCAGTCAAGTAATTGAAACAACTACACCCATTCTAGAAGAATCTGTAACTACAGCCGCCAAATCTAGTGGATCGCCAGAGGGCGAAACTAAATCGCCAGAATCAGTGACCACAGTCAGTACTTCAAGTTCAGAAGACACAGAGAAATCAACAACAGTAGCTTCCTTCACTAATCAGCATGATGTAACTGAGAATGAAATTACAGAACCCGTTATTAAAGTAGAAAGCTGTTCGGGAGAAGCCTGTGAACCATCCAAACCAAGCGAATCGACTTCACCTGCTGAACAAGTAACTGAGGCACAAAAAGAAGGTGAAAGCTGTACAGGAGAGGAATGTGTTCCATCAAAGACACATGACTCGACTGAACCTGTTGAACAAACTACACAAACACAAAAAGAAGGACAAAGTTGTACTGAAGAAGAAGGATGCGCTCCACCTAAATCAAGCGAGTCTACACCCCCAGTTGAGCAAGTAACTGAAACTCAAAAAGAAGGTGAAGTCTGTACAGATGAAGGATGTGCTCCATCGAAATCAAGCGAGCCTACACCAACAGTTCAACAAGTAACTGAAAGTCAACAAGAAGGAGAAAGTTGTACCGAAGAAGGATGTGCTCCATCTAAATCCAGTCAGACTACACCGCCCACTGAACAGGTAACTGAAACACAAAAAGAAGGAGAAAGTTGTACGGAAGAAGGTTGTACTCCATCTAAACCTAGTGAGACTGTAGCACCAGTTGAACAGGTAACTGAAACTCAAAAAGAAGGAGAAATTTGTACTGAAGAAGGATGTGCTCCATCTAAACCTAGTGAGACTTTAGCACCTGTTGAACAGGTAACTGAAGCACAAAAAGAAGGAGAAAGTTGTACTGAAGAAGGATGTGCTCCATCTAAATCTAGTGAGACTGTACCACCCGTTGAACAGGTAACTGAGGCACAAAAAGGAGGAGAAAGTTGTACCGAAGAAGGATGTACTCCATCTAAATCTAGTGAGACTGTACCACCCGTTGAACAGGTAACTGAAGCACAAAAAGAAGGAGAAAGTTGCACCGAAGAAGGATGTACTCCATCTAAATCTAGTGAGACTGTACCACCCGTTGAACAGGTAACTGAAACACAAAAAGAAGGAGAAAGTTGTACTGAAGAAGGATGTGCTCCATCTAAATCTAGTGAGACTGTACCACCCGTTGAACAGGTAACTGAAGCACAAAAAGAAGAAGAAAGTTGTACAGAAGAAGGATGCGCTCCATCTAAATCTAGTGAATCTGTACCACCTGTAGAACAATCAACTGAAGTACAAGATGGCGAGATTACTACTGTAAAACAAACAGAGTCTTCTACAATAAAATCCGAAGGACAGAATGATGTAAGTACAGAAGGACAAGAAACCCCTACGGCACATATCCCGGTAGACAGAGTTCAAGAAGTAACTACAGAAAAAGCAACAGAAGTTACTACAGAAATTCGAATTACTCCCAGCACAGAATCGACTAAACCAGAAGAAATTACTACCAAAACTGAAGATAATAAAACTGAAACCGATGTAATCACTCCTCTAGTTGGTTCCACAGAAGAATCAATACATATTACAACAGACAAAAATGTTGAAACGACAAGTAAATCAACAGAAATTACAGATGTTCCTGTTACCACTAATATTTTACCAGGAGAAAGTTCTAAAGATACAATAGAACCAACTAAGGAGCTACCAACTGACAAACCAGAAGAATCTAAACCATCAGATACAACTGCGTCTGAACAATTACCTACTAAAGCTCCAGAAGAAAAATTAGTTACTGATGAAACTCCTAAAGAAACAGAATCCTCTCAAAAACCTAAAGAGACGGAACCTCCAACTGAAAGTACTGTTAAATTAACTGAAACTGAAAGACCTGCAGTTTCTTCAAATGAACCATCTAAGGAGGTGACACCCTCTTCTGAACAGGAAACTGAGAAACCGACGACAGAACCTTCATCAGATTACACAATGACAGAAACAATTGAATCGGAACGTCCATTGGATTCAGGAGCACATATTACCGAAATTACATCTTCAACATCTACTGAACAAAGTTCCAAACCATCAATAGAAACTGAAGCGCCAAGCGACCAACATAAAACTGAAGCTACAACGTTATCCATGAAACTAAATGAACCAGTCGAATCTACAACCACAATTAGAAACGAAATTGCAGTTACACAAAAAGACGAAGGCGCAGAAGATACAACAATTAACGCAGTTACACAATCTCAACCCGTATCGGGAGCAACCGAAGGAAGACCTACAGAAAAAGTAACAACAACCAATGTATCAGAGACAAAAGCTGAAGTGACAACAGTAGGCAGTGACAAAGAAGAACCAGTTACAGTGACCAAAGAAGAAACTACAGTTTCCAGTACGAAATATCAATCAGAGAATACAGAAGAGGCAACAACGATAGGTTCCAACAAACTGGAAGAAGATAAGAAGGAAGAACCAACGACAGTAGACACTACTAAATTGGAAGAAGATAAAAAAGAAGAACCGACGACAATAGGTACTACAAAATTAGAAGAAGATAAAAAGGAAGAACCAACGACAATAGGTACTACAAAATTGGAAGAAGATAAGAAGGAAGAACCAACGACAATAGGTACCACAAAATTGGAAGAAGGTAAGGAGGAAGAACCAACGACAATAGGTACTACAAAATTGAGTGAAGATAACAAAGAACAATCTACGACGATAGGTACTACAAAACTAGAAGAAGATAAGAAAGAGGAAGCTACAACGATAGGTACTACACGATTGGAAGAAGATAAGAAAGAAGAACCGTCCACGATAGGTACTACAAAACTTCAGGATGATAATAACGAAGAACCAACAACAATTAGTAGTACAAGAGAAGAATCAGATGTAACAACAGGAGCTTCAGCACAAACTGAAAAATCGGCTACATCACCTACAAAACCATCTGAAACCTCAACCGAAGTATCAAAAGAGGCTGAGTCAACCACGAGTAGATTAGAAGACGAATCTACCACTAGACCTACTACCAAACCGTTGGAGACGACAGTTAGTCAGCAAATTACAGAACAGGTTGGCATAACGGAAGCAACTATCAAACCAACAGAACTCCCAAGCGATGATTCTGTTACAGACGAAAAAGTTTCTGAACCTGTTCAAACCACAGCCACTGAGCCAGAAACTGCAACAGAAGAAAAGGTGCCATTAACTGAATCTTCAAGTCAGTCACCGGTTACAGAACAAAAAACAAATGAACCTGAAAGTACTACACCTGAATTACGTGTACCAGTAACCGAACACTCAAGTCAACCATCGATTACAGAACAAAAGACACAAGAATCTGAAGGTACAACACGACCAACAGTTTCTGAAGAGCAACCAATAGAAGTGGAGCCAACAGTAGAAGGCAAGCCTGCTGAAGCAGAACAGACAACAACGGAAGGAAAAATTGAGACAACTAGTAAAGCAGTTACCGAACCAGAAACGTCGAATGCTTCTACCGAGAGCGAACCAGTCACAGTACATGTTGACGACAGACTGAAACCAGAAGTATCGAATGCCTCTACAGAGAGCGAACCAATTAGTACAACGTCCCCTGTTGAAGTGAAACCGGAAACCGAAGCTCCACAAATTTCATCGTCTAAAGATGAAATATTCACGTCCCCTCACATTAGCACCGAAAGTCCAAAGAATGAATCATCGGAATTATTTACGTCTGGACCTCATCAAGAGGCCACAACAAGAATATACCCCGTCGATGGTGAGCTCTCCACGTCACATCCACTGTCTCCGCTTTCAACAACCGAACATCCAACAACTCTGGTACCCACACATGCCAATATTCCTGGTGAACACGAACACGTACCTGACCTACCGGATTATCACTCTCCTGGAGAAGATTACGACGATGAAGAACCAAGTCCCTTGGGTCCAGGAACCTGCCGATACGGCGGAAAAGTATTCGTATCAGCCCAACAAATTCCAAGAGATGATCCTTGTGATTTCTGCTTCTGCTTCAGAAGCGATATTATTTGTCTTCAGCAGAGTTGTCCTCCTCCTATTCCCAACTGCCACGAAGAACCAATCAGAGGTTTCTGTTGTCCAAGATACGAATGTCCTGTTGCGATGGCAACTGCTCTGAACTTTACAACGACGACCACCACAACGACGACGACGCTGCCGCCACACTTCTTGGCGCACGCGTACCGGGGTAGAGCTACGAAAGTAGGATGCCAAATCAAAGGGCAGGCGTATAATGTAGGAGACTTCATTAGATCTGCTTCAGGGCCATGCATGCACTGCACGTAAGTAGCTGTTTATTTATTATCTAGTCAACTCTTCATTCCTACGAGATATTTTTCTCTATGGGAATTGGAAATGTACTTCTTCTTGTAGTTACTTCTCCTATAGCTTCCAGCTTTCTGTTGGTTACTGATTATTTGCCCATTTTCATCTTTACATAGACCTATTTGATGTCTATATCCACTTTTTATCTTTTTTAGGTATGCATAAGCCCCTCTAATTTCATTGTTTTTGAAATTTTTCAATTTCCATTCCATTTTTTTTATTTTTCCATTTTCATAGGCTCTTTTTTTTATTTCTACATATCTTGTCTGCTTTCCGTCTGCTTCATTTTCCCCTCTATTGCTTGTCTGCACTCGTTATCGATTCATGCTCCACTTCTCACCTTTTTCTTGTTTTCCAGGGTGGACACTGCCGCTGTCAGTACTGTTGTTTTGATATTATTCCATTTGCCCTCTATGGAGTGCAGTTCTAGCGTCCTTAACTCATTTGCGACTTCTTCATTGAACTTCTCTTTACATTCCTGAATCTTCAGTTTTTCCAGGTCCAGTTTGTTTGTTCTTTGTTGTTTTTCGTTTCTTTCTTTGTTAACTCATCATCTACATCAAATTTAGTTTAGGGTAAAAGATGGTGTGATCTTCTCGTGTTCTCACATCTGAGATGCTACTGGCTGCCCTTTTGTCTATCAATACATGGTCGATTTGATTGGTTGTGGTTCCATCTGGTGAAATCCATGACATTTTGTGTATGTCTTTATGTGGCGACAGCACATAGCCTTGTCGAATTTCTCTCATAGTAGGAATTTCTTCAGATGGTATAACCCAAGATATCACTAGCACTACTGGTATAACCAAATTCAACCCATAAGCGCAACGAAAATTATTAATTCATTTTTATCCAATGTCATCAACCTAGAGTCACAGTATAATTTAAATTTGGAATAATGTAAAACCATGTATGGATGTCACAGCTGCAAATTTAGTGTTACCTTCAATTACATAAGAAGGCACTGAAGATGAGCTGATTAGATCAAAAAGGTCACGTTATGCAACTGTATAAGTTTTGACGACACTTTTTAAAAGTTTTAGTTATGTTTTTTATACCTAAATACAAATGTGAAGTGAATTATTAATACTCCCGAAGGCGATTGATTTTCATGATTACTTTAATATTTTCGGGGAACTTACACATCTCTTTTTACATTATACTCTCCTTTTTCTTCTTCTTCTTCTTCTTCTTCCTTCTATTATGTAGGCTTTTAAAACCTGTTTTTTCTTTAATATTAGCCTCCTAAATTGTTTAAATTGTCGCACCATCTTTTTCTTACCATCCTATCCTCTGCCATTCTACTGATGGCGTTAAACTCTTGTTTTCGTTTTGTCATCCATCCATTTATGTCTTCTATATTGCATGCTCTTCTTCTGTTTTCGCTTCTCTCTCTATCCAACAGACTTCTCCCTGATATTCGTCGGAGTATTTTCATCTCTGTTGTTTCTAGCAGTCGTCTCGTTTTAGATGTGTCAGGTCTTGTCTCCGTCACAGAATAATAAACAATCAGAAGGGCCACTCTCAGATGTCGCCTTTGAAGTTTTTCAGCACGCGCGCCATGTTTAAGGAGGACACAAACATATAATTTGTGAGGTTATGCAATTGTTTACATTTATGTTTAATTATATTATATTTATGTTATTATATTTAAAACTGTTAATATAATTGTATAGTATGTCTATGATTGCCGTAAGTCAAATAAACCTGGTTTTTTTCCATGCACACCACATAAACAACACTGGTTCCCTTTAAAATCCTCGTAAAACATGGCGGAACGTCTGCGCGAAGGAGATGCGCGTACTTAATTTTCCGTGGAGAGTGGGCATTCTGTTTGTTTAATTTTCTGTGTCTCCGCCGTGTATGTTAATATAGGTCTTATTGCTACTTTATAGATTCTTGTTTTTGTGTCTTGTCTTAGGTGTTTGTTCTTCCAGATTGTGTTATAATCTTCTATAAATATATATTAATATATGTAGATTTCAGATTTAATCTATTTTTTTTTGTTTTAGATGTGGTGGAGATGGCCAAATGCAATGTGATCCAAAACAATGTAGTCCAGAACCAATGTTAAGGCAAATGATCCAAGCAGTGTCGAAGAGGAGGAGATGAGCTGCTATTTTATAACTAGTGACAATGCCAGAGAACTGTGCAAAGTGATACAGACATTTTTATACAAATTGACGAACTAGTGTCGAAGAACTTTTTTACAAAAGAATAATATAAACAAGCATTCTCGGGTGCCAAAAATACAGACGTTAATTAGGTAGCGTGCCTTTTTTTATAAAAGAAGAAAATGTCTTTGCGTATTGGTGCAATAGAGTAAAAACAGATATTTACGAGAAAACTGTGACCAAAGTCCTTATGTATTATTTCAGAACCATACAACAGCTCAATTTACATATTTAATCTTTGTAGACCTTATCTCGGATTAATTTAATGCCCAAAGCCAACCAAGCAATACATACACTATTTATTTTGTGATATTTTGAACTTAAATTTCTTTTTTTCGGATTGTAACCTTACATAATCTTTCTTTTTAATATAAGCACCAAATAAACTCTCTAGAAATAAAGAAACTGCTCCTAAGTTTCTTTTTTTGAGTTTCTAACCTCACATAACCTGTCTTTTTAATTTAAGCCCAAAGCAAACTAGGAATGACTTCTGTATCTGGAGTTAATCTGAAATAAACGTACATAAAGATACCTGTTACCTGATCAAGTTATTATTAGATAGGTATATCTTCTTCATTAGGACTAACTGGTCACTATTATTACAAATAGACTGTTTTTACTTTACATCATAAATGTATACTCGATTATGTAGAATATTTGTAGGTCAGATTTCAGAAAACCTCTTGGAAGGGTGAATACTATTAATACTACATATTCTTTTTTTTTAAATACATTAAAAACTTATTCAGTAATCATATATTTAATAAAAGCTTCTCATATTTGAATTAAACAGCTTAAACTGTTGTGTCGAGTTTTTATATGATAACAACCATCCGTTTGTTTTCAATTTGATCTTTTACGAACATATTCAAGTCAATTTTGTAATAAAAATTAAAAAAATGAGGAATCTTAGTAAGAAAAAACATTTTAACAAAGAGTTCTACAAGATAATGTTCTGTAACTATTACTTACCCATATAAGAAAATAACTGCAATGAAAAACTGGGCATTTCCTGGAATCTGACCTCATGTAGTGAACATGACTGACGAAATTTTTACACTTTTGTATTTATACAAGTTTTTGGAGTGTCGTTTTTTTATTTTATTTTTGAAAAAAAGCCATTTCTTGTAACACGCCGGCTCTTTTAATATTTATATAGTGTTATTTGTGTTGCGTATCCCCAATCGGTCTCAGTTGTTTGACTAGCAGAAATATTGTTTTGTTTCGTGTTTTTTTTTTTGTGTAGTTAGGTGAATATTGGAAAACCCCCTTTTCTGCTACTTGAACGCTTAGACTACTTCTTGTATATTTATGGATGCTCAATATTATAAGTATAAGTAGATTATGTAGTATTTATCAATAATAATGAATAAATTGTGTAAAGAATATGATATTTTTGTTTTATTTTTATGTAGAATCGTTAAGTAAAATGAAAGTATGTCAAGATTCTCCGATAACTAAGATAGGTGCGCTAAATATTGCCACTATTCCTAATACTTCCATCCCTATATCATAGATAGTATCGACGCTGCAATGGAGGATGTTAAGAAAACGAGCTGAGTGGTCAGAAGAAGTACTACGTTTGACGCTGCAAACCATGGCAAAAGGAATGTCCATCAAAGGTGCTAAGCGTTACAACATCCCTCACTCAACGCTAGGTCTTTATCACAGAACATAAAATCCCGTAAGAAAGAATTCACAGATTAGCTGAGGTAGCAATGCCTATTACAGGAAAGATTCTAATGAAAAGTGTGTTTTCATTAGAATCTTTCCTGTAATAGGCATTGCTACCTCAAAATCGTTTAAATTATTCTTGAGCAGACATCCAGACGTAGCTAGTCAAAAAGCTCAAGAAATGAAAATGACCCGAGACCAAAAAATGAATAAAACAATCATCGATTACTACTTTCTTACAATCTCCATAGAAAATCTGGTAGCATATATAGGGTGTTTCAATATAGCACATTTCATTCTTTCAAATTTTATGCTTTTTATAGTAATAAAATTGCTATAAGTTCAGCAGTATATATGCTACATATTGATGGTAACTTAAACATAAATGATTGTTATGTATTTTGAATAAAAACTCCACAACCAACCCCGTGTTTTGTTTTGGATCCATCTCTATATATAAATATCTTATTGACTAATCTGAAGCTGCCTTTGCACCAAGTTTAATAACTTACAGAGAAGAAGACGAAGTAAACTACAGTAGCTCCCAAGATTTATTAGATGTCGTTAGAAGTTCTAACAAGTCGATTGAAAACGCAGATAAAAAAACGAGGCGAATACAAATGGAAATCAAGTATCAGAGAAAACTAATAACAAAATAAAGTGTTTAATAACTTTCTCATGTAGCGATTCATTATCAGATTTTAGTCTTCACGATGACTTACTTGACGATGTCTCGCTCTCATGAAGATGAACCTATGAAAAGATCTAAGAGAAGCTGCAGCTCTGAACTCAGAACAATAATTGAATTGGTATGAACACTAATTGAATTGGTATTTTGATAACGATTTCCGAAGTGGAAATTGAAACGTCAATAAACTTATTTCAAACTTCAATTGTTGTTTATTCCCATTAAAATAGTAATTGTTGTCTAATTAAATTAAGCATTTTTCACAATAGACCCATCGTTTCTCTAACAAATAAAAAACAGAACTTTTGAAAAATTTTATATATTATAGGATATTATAATATTCTGAAGAAAATATATTTATATAAAATATTAGCGTTTACTAATAACTATTATACTACCATTGCCACCTGTCATCAAAAGCTCAAAGTTTTGCGCAAAATGTACAAATACTATATTGCCAAGTTTATACTTTTTTCCTTATGTTAAAATCCGACATGTCAGTTATTTCAAATTTTATTTTAAACATCTAATTTAGTTTATATGATAATTAAATCTAGTATCAAATAATAATTATTATAATAAATATATATTATTTTTAATTTAATATTTACACTGACTGTTGCGCCATCTACGTAACGTATGCTAAAGGTGTCAAATTTTCAAAAGAAGGAAACTGTAACGGCGCTAGTAAAGTTGTGTAAATTGCCAAAATGACTGAAAATTTTCATCACAGCGTTGCCAATCTCACAAAATATTTGTAGATATCATAACAAAAACTATGTAATATAAATTTTATCAGAATCAATACCAAGAGAAAAATCAAGTATAAAAAATATTACTGGTGTATTTTACCTATTTATATAACTTTTAATAAATTACTACTTCCTGGAATTAATTTGTTATCAAAGTTTAATGCATGCGAAGCTGTTAGAAGTAAACAACGTATGCTTGACAATTAGTGTAGTGCAGAAGAAATATACAACAAAACTTTGTTAATGTGCTAAGAGGTGGCGCTAGGAGCAAACATAATGCGTTATTGAACATGATATAAGGAAACAAGGTATGCTCACTAGGTGGACTCGTTTTTGCACATTTCTGCGCCGACCAAAATCCACCATCTTTTCAATATGTCACATGTGTGTAGGGATGGTGACCTGATCCCGTACCAGTTACTTTGGAACATGTATTTTATTTATACTTGTGGAACTGATCCCTAACACCAATATATTATAAAAAACGAGTACGGGTCATGGCCGTATAAATAAAGATCTTTATTTATACGTCCATGGTACGGGTACTGTACTCATAGTAAGTGTAAGTGAGCATACCTGACCTGATCCATAAAAATACTTGGATCAACCACCTCTACATGCGTGACGTCTGCTTTGTTTACTTTTGCATTTTTTAACCTTACTTTGCAATGTACTGGAATTGTGTTTTTGTTTTGTTTCGATTTTTTAAAAATTATTTTAGCAAGAGTCTGTTCAGATTATTTTAAATATGAATTAATTGGATTAATGTATAATATTAATTTTATTTTATTTAATTTAACTACGATATTTCGTATCAATTTTGTACATATTTGAATTGCCGCCTTCAAAATGGCGGATTTTGGTCGTAAACGTGATTGGCTGTTCAAAATAGATGCTCGTGAGCATACCATGTTTCCTTATATCATGGTTATTGAATTATTTTAATAAATATTATTTATATAATTTGTTTAAAATATAGTCACCATGGCCTGGAATCTTATATGAATGACTTGGTTCATTTCCCCATCACTTTGACCCCAGCGAGTTAATAAAGAGAAATGACAGCCTATCTCTCTCACGAAGACTTTAACCAATCATAAACCAAATAAAAGAATCAAACGAAGCAATGTCAATTCTGTCAATCCAAATTAATGACAGATCTCTACTTATATATATTTAATCTATGTGACAGATCTTCCGTTTGTTTACAAGTTTTCAATTTTATTTTATTATCTTTAACTTTCGTTTGCATTTATTCTTAGTAATTTTAATTTGAATTTGGTTACTTAATTTGGGCATTTCTCAATTGCGGGCACTCTAACCTAACCAAGCATTTATATGACATTTAACGTTCGCTTAAATGGTGTCAGAGTTGCCAAGTCTCCAGTTTTTTCATACTCTCACATAATATTATACAAATGTTGATTAAAGTGATATATAAAAAATTAATAGTATAGATTTTAGTTAAATTAAAGATAATAATCAAATGCATATACAATAAAATTGATTAAAATTTTATAAAAAATTAATAGTAATAATTAAATTACCGTATATAATAGAAATGCATTGAAATTATATAAAAATTCAAAGATTTTAGTTAAATTAAAGATAATAATCAAATGCATATACAATACAACTGATTAAAATGATATAAAAAATTTATTTAATATATTTAAATCTTGTAGCTTCTCATAATACAAATTATAATTTCGTAAAAGTAACTTATATTTTAAACCTTCATATACATTTTACAAAAAAAATACGGCAAGTTTTATGCTTATTTAAAATTTGTAGCTTCTCATAACACAAATTATTATTTCGTATGTCATATCAGTAGGTTATGATTACGGTCACGGGGCTCTAGGCACAATGTATGGAGACTCGTTGTCAGTTGTCACTACTTGTCAAGATGGTTAGATCATAGGGTTTTGGACATTGTTGATTCCTAGAGACTTTGTTAATAAGTATGTTTAAATAAATATATTAACTGCAATGAAATATTATTACTTGGCGCAGTCTAGTGGAAATTAATCGAAAATCATGGAAGCAAGGTTACCAAATCCATTATCATTTGAAGGCAATGTGGCCGAAAATTTTAAAAGATTTAAGCAAAGTTTTGAAATATATCTGATGGCATCAGGAAAAAGTGGCAAAAGTGATGAAGTTAAGGTAGCAATTTTACTCAATTTAATTGGAGAAGAAGGCATTGAGATTTATAACAGTTTGGAATTAACAGAGGTCCAACAAGGAAAGCTAGCAGATGTATTGGAAGCATTCGAGTCTTATGTCACTCCTAGAAAAAACGTGGTTTATGAAAGATATTTGTTTTATAAGCGCAGTCAAGAAGAAGGAGAGCCTTTTGACCACTTTTTAACAGATTTAAAAAATAAAGTAAGAAATTGTGAGTTTGGTGTTGAAGCATTTTCAATGGTAAGAGATAGAATAGTATTAGGCACCAATAGTAAGGATGCACAACAAAGCATGTTAAAAACAATTAATTTAGATCTGACTAAAGCTATTGAAATATGTAAAATGCATGAAGTATCCCAAGCTCAAATAAAAGAAGTTCAGAACAGCTTAGAGAAGGTGAAAATTGAATCAATTGGAAGTAAAGTCAAGCAGGGGCATAATTCAGTCCAAACAGTCAGGGGTGCAAGTTCTTCTAGAGGTGAATTTAACTGCAGAAACTGTGGGAGTGTCCATGGACCAAGGAGGTGCCCAGCATATGGAAAAAAGTGTAGAAAGTGTGGTAAATATGGGCATTTTGATAAAGTGTGTTATCATGGTAGGTTAGTAAGAGAGGTACAAGTGGAAGAAAGTGAAAATAATGAAGTAGACAATTTCATGATTTCATCAATCACTGTTAATGAAATTAAGAATAAAAATAATAAAGACTGGATGGAAAATTTAAAAATTAATAACATTGATATACCTTTTAAAATAGATACAGGGGCACAGGTTAACATTTTACCCAAGGTTTTTGTTGAAAAAGTTTGCAAAATTAATGAATTAAAAGAAACTAAGGTCATACTTGAGACATATGGTGGTTTTAAGATCATTCCTTTGGGTATAATAAAACTTGTCTGTAAATATAAAAATATTGATCATTTATTAGATTTTGTTGTTGTAAAGGAGAGATCAACACCTATCTTGGGTTTATGTTCTACCTTAGAGCTTGATTTAATTAATAAAATTGATAACATAACACTGCATTCTAAAGAAAAATTTGTAGAAATGAATAAAGATGTTTTTTTAGGTTTAGGTAAATTTCAGAAA